TTTATGGTTTTCTTTGTCTGCTCCTTTTGTCGTAGGGGTAATGGAATCTTCCAGATATCTTGAACAGGTGCTGAATCATTCCTATCACATGTATTTGCAGTTGATTCGATAAACATATATTCCGTTATCAATTTCTCCCTCCACCCTGTGACATTAGATTTCAAAGCTGTCATTCTATCCTATCCAATTGTATGGTTGTGTGCAACTGCATGTAGTGCTATAGCTAAAACTATTCTCGAGATTCCTAATCTTATTTGAGTCAACCAATCTAGATTTTGCTAGGTTTTTATGTTCAGCTGGTCTGACTGTCCCTGATCTACTAGTTTGACCTATGTATTTAACCTGACAATCATTCCAGCTGACTATAAGATAAACTAAATTGTTTTGTTTTAAAGGCTCCACTGAATCTTTTAGCCGACAAATTTTGTTTCTAATTGATTTTGTGGATTTAAATCCCAGCCACTTTTATTCCTGCCTTGTTAGGGAATTCTTCATAAGGTTTTCAAGGTTCCTTCCATGTATGAAATAACTACCGATGATTTATATTCCGTGAACAAAAAATAATCACGATATTTTGAATGCATAAGTGCTGAGTATACCCGGAAATTAAATGCAACAGACGGAACACAGTAGAAAACTGCATAACAGCTCTTGAGCAAATTGAATATAGTCTTTTTCTGATGACGGCAGAATGCATGAACGTACAGAAATACATGACATCAGAAAGCATAATTGGAGTTTAATCACAACTATATTTACCGTAAATCTGAAAATATCTTGATCAAAATGATCACGGCTGTGAGTCATCATAAATTCTGCTTTTTCGTTTACATCATGTAGATTACACGAGTTATAACGTGACTAATTCATTCAGTCTAATTGTGAAATCTATGTGAATTTGAGATCATGAAAGTGAAAATGAGAGTATCGCAGGCCTAATTAGCTATAGGTCGGATGGTTTTCTAAAATTCAGCACTTTATGCTGGGTTGAATGCTGTTAGGAGAAGGCAGCATATTCTCCACACCATAAATTTATTACTTCTGTATTCGCAACTTGGGTTGTGTAATTCATTTATAATTGCTAAAACAATATTGGTGAATGTATTAGACTATGATATGTTGTAGATCCCCTAATACTGCCGATACTTCCAAACGTTTTATTGCGGAAACGGTCAAACATTTTTAGTTTTAAAGTCTCCATTTGCAAACTTACATCAAAAAAAGGCGGCTGTAATTCCTAAGTCAGATGAGGTTGATTGTAGCTACAAACACATCAATATTTAAAATGATTGAAGCAGATTTTAGCTGGAAAAACAGTAATGGTGGTTCTGGAAGGATAAGATTTTTTACCTGCGTTAAACGACAGTCAACCAGTGAACATCCATACTAACTTCAATTATAAGCTTCCACCAAAACATTTCAAAATAGACGAATACAGAAATTATAGCATTTCATACTAAACATAATTATGATTAGATGGGAGCTTTATACCATATAATGCAGTTGAAAGAAGAACTGAAAATCGGATAGTCAGTAAATGTCATTTCTAACAGATATACCCTGAAGGGTCAAACACAGTTTAGTAAATTGTATAGTTCACATAGCCAGAGATATCTCAACTTACGGCTGTTTTCATAAATAAATAAAGTTTATTGGAGACTTGCTTCGTTAAACAGAATAACCTAAGGAGTTTTTCATAGTGAAACATGATCTTTTCAGCAGATCACTCCGGTACGTCAGCAACAGTTCTTCGTTGATAGTATCAGCAATATGTTAAGATAATGTCTTAAATGAAGCAAGAAAAGCTTTCACTTGAAAGAACACATATGTTCACTCTGTCTTCGGTAAACTACAATTGGGTACTTCACTGGTGCCACTCCACTCATATATACCACTTTCAGAAATTCCTTGAAATCGGTCACACTGAGTGTGTATAACCATATTTAAGAAAATCATCCTATACTATCAGACAAGGGAGAATGCATTCATCTCACTATTTTAATCTATTCTGAAGATAACCAACTTAAAGTTTGTTCACCCAAAGCAATACATGTTACTCAGGGTATTCAGACTTGTCTGAGGTTCCAAAAACAGTTACATATCCTGTATATTGTTGAATTTATTGAAATTCACATGAGGAAGGTAAATGGTGGCTTTTCTTAATTTGGTTATCAGTACTTAATTCAAATATCTCATAATTTCGCCTTGCTTACTTGTTAAAAAGAGTAATTATAATTCTCGAAGCTATCTTTGCATTTACCGTTGGCTGATTTTATAACATGCCAACGTCCTGTGTCTACTGACGTGTCTGCTATTACTGACAGCTGTTAAATGATGTCAACCTATCACCATCATTTTTGTTTCTTGGGTAATCACCTAATAGAATCATCCTCAAAAGAAATACGGCTACATCAGGCTGAGTAGTCCTGAATATAATGAACTACTTATATTATGAAAATGTAAACCCTAATATACGAGGGGAAATAAATAACAAACTCATGTGGAAATTTGCAAGCTAACCTCAAATTTATGTATGCTCTAACGATGCTGCCCGATAAGGTGGTGTAATCTTCTGAAGTAGAACTGTCTAGCTGAGGCAGTGCATCTACACGAGAAAATTTTAACGGTCTAAACTCGTTAATGAGTCCATCATAAAATTAGAAGAGGCTTAAAGGAGTTATAGGTGGGCTGATGTTGTGAGAACTTGCATGAATCCAGTGTGACAATGTCAAGCGTTTGCATTAGAAAAGCAATAGTGTCCCTTCCGATATATGTGTCATTTAAAGCAAGTAGAGTAAATGCTGCTGGGATCTAATTTGATATTATCTGTGAAAATAAAGCCAAAATCAAGAGTGCAATCCATTTCCACATACGATATAGTCAGATTAGGAAAGAAATGTATACAACAGATACTATATACTGCCGAATAATTTAGGTATTACTATTTGTACTCATTTCACCCAATGTGTCGTCAAAGAATAAGAATTATATCAACAAAAGAAATCAGAGTGATTTACGTGGTAAAACATAACTCGATATCTATGTAAACAGTATATGACACGATACTTATTCAACAGAAAGTGATATCATATTATCCAGGGAGATACATTAGGATATATAACTGTTATGTACTAGTTTTCCCCGTCGCCAAATTGTTATGTACTCGTCGCTGAATTATTGTTATGGACTGGTCGAGAAACTAATAGTCCTGACGCGAGAAAGCGGAAATCAGAAGACCACTAGGTTTGCGATGATACTTCTATTGTCCAAACACAAAGAGACGAAAATAAATGGTCTCACACCAAAGTGGTAAGTAAGTAAAGTAGTTGTAAAGTAAAGTAGTTCACACAAATTGTAAATGCGAATATATATAAATAATTCAGACAAGCGTGGGAAAAAATCATTAGACAGTCTTAACATGAATGGCTAATTATAATGGAGTGTCTATCCAATTATACATAGCGAATATAGCAGACATGCCAACAAACATATATGGATATATGTCACTAAGCAACGGACTGTCAACAAACACTCATATTATATATAATATAATATAAGGAGAATACACATTATTAAAGGAGACAAGTCCATACAAGTGAAGTGGTCACAGACTAACCGAGCAACCAGAAAGAGAGACCAACATGCACACACACACATAAATATATATATGTGGATACATATCAGTAACAAAGAGTCATGACATGACACGACACTAGTAAATTATCCCTGCATGATTGCGTCGTATTATGTAGACCAACTTGAAATTCATAATCGTCAGGCAGAGATAATAAGTTATACAACATTTAATACACACCGAAATACCATTGTTAAAATAAATAAGTTAAGTAATAGTACAATGTTTGGATGTTTACAAAAATTTTCCTGTACATGTTATCATACGATAAATCAACCTGTAACTCAAGACATGACTGACCTTGAGATCTAAAGTACACACAAATAAGCTTATTTATTTTTTTATCAAAGGTGGACACAATGATGATCGTGGTAAGTGATGGTAGGATTAATTTTTCTCTTTTACTTTAGTATAATATGAAACAATCTGCAGCACTTCAATCTAGTGAAATCATAGGAACAGTGAAACCCAGGATCGTGTTATTGTATTTCATACCACCTTGGCTCAAACACAATGTAATGTGAACTGAAATCATGAGCGGTTATAGCCTGCTGAATATGTTGTTTGATGGAATAGACCCTTCTTTAGAGAAGAGTGTAACGTAATTACACAGCATACTATTGCAATCTAATCTATTTTTATATTAGTCTTCTTTTCCATTTAACTGCTCACTCCCACTAGGTTCTGTCCTATGCAGCTTCCCTTTTCAGCTTTAAGCGCGATTTCCCGCAGACCCTCGCCCTTTCCTAACATAAACATATCCATGTCTCCCTTGAACGCCCTACTCGTCGTTCCCCACTTGGGTTTCCCTGCGCGCGACGGCCTTAGAGTGATAAACTGAAACCAAATCTTTCTATGTGGCTTAAAGAAATACATGCGCAGTTCATATGATACAAGTCACCTTATACTGCAAAATACAGAATTGAATTTACAAGGTGCACAAATACAGCTTCTAGATCAGGGAGCACGACTATAATAATACCATCCTGAAGAGCTACATATCAACCCAATCATTTTTAAATCATGGCAATAATAAATAACTCATTATAATTGAGGATACAGACCAAAAAATATAATGCATTCGTTAAAATCGCTACGAAAAGCACTTTGGAATTCAGCACACTTCTAATAGCGTCTGTCGTACCAGGAAGCAAATAAAGTAAAAATGGAGAGGTAATCAGAAAATGAGGGGAAAAAATATAGTTGCCTAATAAATGGACATTCACCATCACAGTTAATGAAAGGAAACGTAAAACACCACTGAAATTAAAAATCCAGTGAATGCCAGTCTGTAGGCTAACAGCTTTACTGTCAATTTTGTAAACCACTGAGTTAGATCATGCTATTTTTTCGATTCTAGGAGACAAAAAAACTCATAATAAGGGTGGTGACGGTAAGTCATGGCGGTTTGTATGTTTCATTTCATTTCCATATATTTAACAAACTATTTGTTCAATATTTATTGTGTATGTCAATCTTTGATAAATAACTATTATCCTTATACCCTCGACAACAACAAACTTTTTTCATCTAAACAGCTTTTCAAAAACCTCAAAAATCTCAATTAGTACGATTTCTCAGCAGCACACAAGTAGATCCTCAGACGTTTTCGACATTATAATATAAAGAATGTGATTCAGAATACAAAATTAAAGTTTAGTAAAGTTTAACATTTAAAGACCATTGTCTCACCTTATTTTCGAAATAAACACACAATTTAGACCAAAAACCAAGAGAAATGAAAGTCACTGGACAACTAGATAGCAAATGAGGACAGTATAGATCGTACACAAATAAGGTACAATATCTAACCGAATCAAACAATGTGAGGCAGCTATACAGCCTTATCTGAATTGTATATCTGCGTGCAAGCGCCGACGTCCGACAAAGTATACGTAAAATACGAACGTAACCGTACTCATATTCAATACTTGGAAAAAAGAGATATCAAAACCTTATTTCACATTGTGAACAATTTTTGAAAAACCAATCTGTCAGATATAACAGAATTCAGCAGAACATAGTAGAAACAAATCGCCAAGCACTGATTATTTGGAAAGTTATTTGCTGAATGTTCTTTTATCTTAGATACAGCTTCAAAAGCTTTTGGGATATTTCAAAATAAATTAACTTTATTAGCATCTGAAATTTTCGGAAAAGCGTTCAACTCTTGATGCTTTCTTCTGATTGCCTCTTGCTTTAAGTATTAAAATTTAAAAAAAATACCAGCTTGAGAACGTGATCTCCAAGCCAATTATGACTGAAGTAGATGTACACCACTATTTTTACCTAAACGTGACAATTTATTGCTAATCATCAAATAATTACTAATGCATATTTTATAAAAGTAGGGATACGAATTGTTCACTGTTTCATGTCATATTTAAATATATGACTAATTTATTCTACAAAGTGCCCATATTTACCTGGATGTCAGTTGTGTTCGAAGTCTAAATTTATCATTACATCTTTTGAACGTATTCTGTTGAGAAGTTAGATGTCGTCATAAAATGTGCATCTCAGAATAGTATATGGAGAACGATTTATAAAAATTGTATTTTTATTTATAAAAATAAACTTCGAATTCGACAATTTACACCTGACAGATATGAATGGTGAGTGTTGTTAGAAATCACACATATATACATACATCTGGTAGAACGTTGTTTAGAACTGCATAATTACAGGTTTGTAGACGGAACAACACAATGGAAACTGTCTCCTAGAAACTCAGATTTTCAAAAATATATATTCATTACATACCTAATGAAGAAAATGGAATTACTATGACACTCATCAAATGATAATTTATTAAACACCCTCAAAAATTTCCAATTATTAGTTCTATGTTACTGAATGATTGTTGGTCACGTTAAAAGGTAACCATTGTCCAGATTACCTGCCCAACTGCTCAGTAAGAGTAGTATAGAAGGAAGTAAGTAAACTTAAACTTCGGTCACTTGTGAATGTGACGAAGAATACTGGTGTCGAACGGATAATTCTAGCATGATATCCAAATAACACGGACGTGACAAAAACTCGAACTTTTTTCATGAGAATGTTTTAGTAGACTATCATAAGGGCATAGAGAATACTGCGAAGCTATTATCTGACTAGTACATAAGTTCAGTGTAGATTTAGTTTCATAAACGTAAAATGTGTTGTCAACGCATAAACTATAAGCTGACTTTTGAGGTGGATTACATTGAAAAGTGATACGTAGTAACAGCGTAGCCCTACTAGCCATGATAAATTAGTAGCGCATTGGATACTGGCTTTTGCTCCTAGTATACGTTAACAAGTTAATACAAACTAATTATGGCAATTCACTTAGGTTCAGAAGAACAAGCATACCTCGGAATCAATCTATAATATGTATTTTTCCATTAAATTTCGAAATAATAAGTTAATGACTGATAGGTATACATTGGAGCACATATTAAATTATGGTTGCTGAAATTTCCCATGAACCAAAATATAGTACCATACTGAAACAAAACACACTTTAAGAAAAACAATTATACTGCCTTTAATTCGATCAGTATAGTTCATCAAATGACGGGAGACGCACAGACAACATAATATATTCGCCTTGGTACCCAGTAGAAAATAGATGTAGAATAGATGATTCAGCACAAACCGATAAACATATCCTCAGCTTATACAAGTATATTCGGAGGAGCGTGGATATGATGCATTCCTAGACATATGATTACGTAGCTTGAAGACAACATCAATAAAATAATAACACAGTGCCTAAATAATGCAATGAAAATATCATTAACTTGAGCACAGACATCTTCTCCTAACACAACTGCTCCAGTTTCAATTTGGTAATATAGTAGTGTATCATGTGGTTTCCTTTTCTCTGTACCAGTCGGACTGTGCACCTGTGGTGCTAGTTTCATTGGTTGTAGAATTATGCACGTATATTAATACATTTCTGAACACCACTAATTCACGCCATATTCAGTAAACAAACGAAATAGGTTCGTGTGTGTTTAAGGTTACACAGTAGACAGTGAACATGAAGTTGATGTTATTAAAGTAACTAAAATTTTCATAAGTGTGTGTTCAGAAATAATAATTCGTGCAGCCACATTATTTGCCTTGCCCATTATAACTTCATTAGGTAAACATGATAATGGCCGATCGATCATATACTGAATTTACAATGATAATCATAACAAAGAGGTATGAAACATGGTCACAATTCCTAGTTCATCACCAAGATAAACGACTGAATACAAAAATAGACGAATCGCACGACTGTGATAGAGAAATAACCATTTAATTTTAGGTAAATGTTTCTGCGGCAAATTACATGTGACATATTAGCATATGACACCATGGGAAGAATAAAACTCATATGTGATAAAATTCTAATTGAAAACACTCTGTGCAGACAAGCAGTTTCTTTGTCCAATCCCTGAAACGCTTTAATTACCCGTACTCCTTCTTCTATTCCAGAGCACGACAGTGGAGACGGAGAAGGTAAGGCATTTAGTGACCACCTTTCACTGTCTTTTTTACACCGATTCGAGTAACACTGAACCAAATAGTGTTTGATTCGAAAATATTTGAATAAAACATTCTACTGGTCAGTACAATTATTATTGATTAATTTACCTATGTACTACAAGCAGACTTTGATTTTTAGTTTCATTCGCATATGCAGATTTTTCTAGTCTAGAAATTCTTCTAAGATGGACCTAAAATTTCCAAGACAACTATTCACTGTCAAAATATTTTGAGAAGCGTTCACTAGTAAGCATATGAATTCGTTTCTTCAGAGATACTTTATCAAAATGTACGAAGGGTAAAAACCAAAATGTGATACCATTCCATTTAAAAACACTCTGTTCAGACAAACAGTTTCCCTGTCAATTTTTTTGAAGTGCTTAATTAACCGGTACCTTTTCTTCTATTCCAGATGTAAAGAAAAATCACCGCAATAACGGAAAATGTAAGCAAACAAAAGGTCTACTTTTCATTTCATTTACTTTTGTACACTTCAGCAGTAATTGGTTTATAAACATTTTTGCCAGATACCTGTTTCGTCACAACTAATGTCTGCTCATTATATCTAATCTAATTCACTTTCAATTTTAACAACAAGCCTCAACAATAAGAATAATTTCTCAATGATGTACGATGGAAACATATTGGTGCGTCGGTGACACAGTGGTTAGGACTCTCGCCGACCATGCACATGGTCCGGGGTTCGAGACCCGGCCGGCGCACTCCTTTAACTTGCTAAACCAGTAGTGAGACTGGTAAAGAGGAAAGGCTGGGCATGAGGCTAGCAACCCCATCCTGTAAACATCAACACTGCTACTGAATCTTCAAGCCTATAGCTTGAAGCCCTATATTCCATTGGGAACGTGAAGGAAAAAATTCAGCTACATAGAAGAGCGTCTTCATATCCCTTCTCATGCATAGCATTTTCATCTGACGATTGAGTATTTTATACCAAGGGGAGTTTAAGTCATCCACTTTGTCACGTGATATGCTTATAAATGGACAACTTATCACGTTAATGACCCTACTTCACCTAAAGTCAATGTGGTGATAGCAATCTAACTGTCTTTAGAATCTAAATTAACCAACTGTGTGTGTGCGACTTCATATAAGAGTAGTTTTCTATCAGGAAACCGAATTTCTACATCAGATACAAACTTCGAAATATTGTGTGAAAATCCTATTTGATAAGGGCGGCTGCTCATTTGTATTCGAAACTAATTAGGACGCTCTTCAATAAATATGAACTAGAAGGTCTCTAGTAGAATAAGGTAAGGTGACGGAAATAGAATGAAAAATAAAGCTTCCCATAAACTCGCACTTTGTGAAATATATTATCATTTCACTTCTGGTGGAAAAAAATACACGTCTAAAAACTATCATCACATGCAACTCGAAGGAATTATTCTAGGAATATTAGAATTCTGATATTCATTTCAAAACCTAGAATGTTTCACTGTTCGAAACAAGATATTTATAAGACCATTTAACAATATATGGAAGACAAAACTGTCACGATAGCGTACGGCACCTGTATCTGATGTGAATGTTGATTGTATCAAAAGAAGACAGATAATTTAAATGAATTCATTGATCAATGAATTACACTCGAAACATATACAAAATGATGAGCTTACAAGGAGGCTTATTTGCCAGAAATTCGCCTCCTTGTTATATCAGAACCAACCAGCCTGTCTGTGGTAACAAGATCTCTCGGTTGCATGAATATTAAACAACTCAGAACATTTTTCATACGGAATAATAGTGGGATGTAATGTGATAACCAGATAAAAAATCTAACGTAGACCTAACCATGTAGTTTTGACATCAAGGTACATATTCTGAGCAATCCATCCGAGCTGAATTACACGAAATACTGATACTGATTCAGGGCATGAATCTTCTATTCACTGGAAAACGTTCGCCGTCTGATAGAATGTGAAGATTTTGTGTAATGAACAGTATACAGACACACCTGAGGTCTAGCTTCGTAACGTGAAATTTGATGTAACCCAGAAATAGTAAGATATCAAACAGTTTTGAATTACACTGAAAAATGATCTAGAATAAAAGCGTAGGTCAACTATTCAGTGTAAACCAGTGGCGCACCGCATGCGCGTATCTCTGTCGATAGCTGTTTATGTGTTGTCTAAGTGCTTACAAGTATATTCGACGGAATAATGAGAATTCAATCTGCCGGAATAAAGACGTTTGCCACATAGACAGTCAACGAACTGCCATTCTGGAATATTCCATGACGCAAATCAACGTCTTCTAGTTAATACTTAGTTAGTAAACCATATGGAATACCGCAATCAAAATACATTCCAGAGTGATCGATTTACGACTGACAAATAGGCACGCTGATTTCTACATGTGAATTGATGTGAAAACCAAAGTTAGTGAAATTTCAAAGAAACGGAATTATGATGCGAGGAGAGAAAATAGGGGACTTTTAATCCAAGTGATTTCAAAGCCAGGAAAATGTGAAAATTTAAAGTTCGTGAACATTCATCATAAAACTGAGAACTAAATATGAAGCAATAGCTTACATCAACCATTGACATGCTGAATAATCACAGTAAATGACAAGGTCAAATAATATGGCGTCACTTTGTCGATGAATGCGAATTGTATTTTCCTGTGTGAATAGCTTGATTTGTCACTGAAGTCGTACAAAATACTCATAAGTGAAACTAATTTGTATTTCAGACCACGGCCATGGAGGACGTAAGTCAAAATGTGCCCTGCCCATATCTTATCTGAATTCGTCTCTGATGAAGCCGACTTATAAGAACCTTTCTTTGACAATGAATTCAGTTTATCGACTGAATAGATTTGCAAATGAAGTTTGAATAACTCCACATGCAAACTGAGGACATGAGCAGTCCATCAAATAAGGCGTCTTAAAGCTTGGACTGACTTATAAATGATAGTTGTCATACATGTTTACAGGTTGCACAGTTTTGCACAGTCCTTACAGAAACCCTTCCCCAACCAGAATTTGTTGAATATAATCAACACGCTAGATATTATACCGAGTTTTAGTTCTCTGGAAAGGCGTTTCATTATTCGTTGAATGGAACCAAGATAATGAAAATGTTCAACAAATTTCAAACTCCACAAAACACCTTATGAAAAAGAAATAAAGAATGCAAGCACATTATTGAAATGATGCAAAACCTACATAAATGAACAAGTCAAATATAAGTCATTACAACTCTTGCCATGTTATCTGTTTGATTGCATTGTAATTAATGCTAACTAATTACATCTTAGCTGCAAATCATCTCTATCATCGCGAAATCAGGTTAATAAATACCTTAAGAAAAGAAGTAATCAACAGATGAATAGCATTCTAAGCATCGCTATGACTGATTTCTTAATAAGGAAAACGTTTTTAAGATAATCAGACGAAAATAAGCTAAAAGACTACCACTGATCACGAAATCATTAAAACCAATTCCGCTGCCTATTGATCGTCAATTTTCAAAATACAAGAAAGAAAGGAATTGTATGTGACACCATTGCAATTTAAGAAATTCCGTACAAACAAACGGTTTCACTGTAAAATCCAAAGATCGATAAATTACATATATTGTCTAGACCATAGAGGAAAAAACAAAGTTGACAGAGAGGGTAAATAAAAAAACGATTAATTCTCAATGAATTTAGACTAATAAAACAAATGCCCTTCTGAAGAAATTATGACTTCATATTATAAGAATTAAAAAAATAGGTTTATACCAATCAAAAGGATTTTAATTAGGTGAAACCAAAACGTAGAATGCGCCATCGCGAAGGTCTGACTGAATAAAAATATCATGGAATTATAAATGCAACACATTCAAAAAAACGGTCCTCAAGTATTCCGCACTATAAAATACCACAAATGACACTAGGTGAAGAGAATAAAACTGCCAGTTTGTGAAGATGACGAGACTGTATCTAAACAAAATTAACCCATAATAGAATTACGACGAGACACCAGTCAACCCGACTGCCATTTATATTCATTCTCTGACTGCAACCACATGAGTCACTAAAATTCAACTTATTCAGCGTCTGTCAAGCTCGCTTTCAATATACTTCATTTCTGAAGAAGTAATTACAATGTTCATCGACAGAAATGCAGACTTTTAATGAGAAGAGTGAAGCGGAAACAGTAAAGCAGGAAACGCGATCGTCGTTGAGAACGCTTTTTGACAAGAGATGTCGTTAGGAGCGCCTGATCTATAAAAATTATAATCATAAATGTGGTGCGCCCACTTGTGAAATTACCACTAAGAATTCAAAAATTGCAGCAGACAGAAAAATTAGCAACGTAATTCTCAGTAAGTTACGAGCGATTTCGACTAACAAGAAGATCACTGAAGGTCCGGATCTTGACGATTATTTGTACCTCGTGTCCCTGAACCTCACTGACTCACAATCAAATCCTAACAAAATGGTGGAAGAGGCATCAAAGAAATGAATTCAGGTGCACGTAAAGAGGATATCTTCGCCACGGTCAACTAACCGAATAAATTAAACGTAATCGTGAGGGTCAGGTCGATTCCGCACATCTTGAAATTATGACTGGTACACCTTCAAATTAAGGGTCTTGACGTATTGCGCACAATACAATACCACCAATGACACTATGTGAAGAGAATAAAACTGCCAGTTTGTGAAGACGACGAGACTGTATCTAAACAAAATTTACCCATAATGGAATTACGACGAGACACCAGTCATCCCGACAGTTACCACAGTAATTTACAGAGTTAAAGGATGTGAGAAACCATTTCAGTTGAATTTTGAATGTCAAAGGCTGTGGAAGTAGCAGTATTTACTGTCAAAATCATGAAGAGTAACACGTAAATGTAATCATTCCTTCCCCACAAAAATAGGTGATGACGATGATAATGGTGACGACAGTAAGTCGAGATATTCATTTAATTTTGTGACAGAAGTAATTTATTTCGGTCAGATTCACTATTGGAAGAGGTTAACCATTTTTCTGATTGCAATGAAACAAAATAAGTGATAAATCACTTCGGAGGGAAATTCATCCAGAGTCACTGGTCTCTGTCGAGACATCCACCACAAGTAGATTTCGTCTTCTTGTTGCATTTTAATGGTCGCGCCGGTATATACATTTCAAGATGACCAGACAACACTCAAAGAACCCAGGGTAATTAAAACTGAATAATTGAGGCTGACAGTATTCACTGATCCCAGTGTAGATGAATAGCATTCATAGCATCGCCATCATTGATATCCTACTGAGCGACACATATTAAAGATCGTATGACGCGATTTAATTAAAAGTACATCACTAATGACGAAGTGAGAAGAACCACTTCACCTGCCTATTGACCGACTCATTTTCACAGTGCACGATGACGAAAAACTGCATGTGAGACCACTGCAATTGAAAAGACCGTCTGAAGACGATGAGTATCCCTGTCGAATCCCTCAGACGCTTAATTACCCGTATTCCCTCGTCTATTGTAGGTGACATGAGAGACCACAGTGAAAAGTCACACGGTGAGTCAGTGAAATCACTACTTTTCATTGAATTTTCTCCAATCCGAGAAACATTGATCTGAGCGGTGTATGACTGGATATTTTAAAAATTGTAACTCGACTGGTCAATGCGCTCATTTGATTTGTATTTATGGAATGCACACAAAGTTTGTTAAAACGTTTTGGTTGCACATTCAGAGTTATGTGCTCTATGAAGTTTTCCAATTTTGGAGGTTGCATTTCTGGGAGAACTACTTAGTAAAAATGTATATTCAGAAGAGTTTACTGCTGAAAGTATGAATTCACTTTCAATGAACACTAAGGAGTCAGCAACTTGGAGATATACACTGTTCTCAGTACCCTAGATGTTTCGTGAGGACTTCAGTGGAAAAACGATACAATGTCTAAAATCACGCAGTGTGAAGAACATTTGGTGCTTCAGTGATGGACTGTCACTTCCCAAAACGCCTTAGTTTACACTCAAGAAATAAAGATAAGACACTTGATTTTGACACACCTCCACTTTTGCGAATAACAGATAACTACTCTTGTAAAGCTATCTACGTTATGTGGACAATCAGACCAGTTTGCTTGTAGGATGTCTTAGCATCATCCAACATCATATGCAGTGCACAAACGGAGTCTATTTGTGGCTCTGTTGTAGCTCACGTTTTCTATACTGGCGATAATGATGGTGTTAGAAAGGCATTCGAATTCACTCACCGTATTCCCGCTAATTCTTATTTCGTTTTTTATATTGTCTTCTACGTATACATCAACGCCATTATATTCCACCTGAAGTAGCTGAACTTATTTGTGCAGTAGACATTCGTGTATATGCTTTCCTAAATTTAGCTATGTCAAAATCGGTGAATTTACCATTTTCCTGCATATCTTCTCAACGAAAATACAATGTGTAACCAAAAGAATGAATGAGAAATGATTATCCCTCAACAAAAAATGAGACCAGGCGGAAATGCAGATTGTAGGCATGAAATATCATTGCACAGTGGAAGCAACATGTAGGTCATTACATGCCTAGTCTTGTTTTCTAGACGGCACTATCGCAGTAGAACACGTGATGGTACAGCGTGAGGGTAGCACAAATATCCGTTATTGAACAACGATATCGCTGTGGGACCATCGAAGCAGCAAGCAGCTTGACAAGTGACTGAACGCTGAATTGGGTGCATCAGTATTTACTCACCATTCGCACGCTCAGTAATCACAGCAATGGGCTAGTTAACTAATATGAATCATCAAGAGAGATGAGCCTGCATTGCATGCCATTTCGCCAACACTGGGGTTCACGATTGAATCAGTGAACTTATGAAAAACTCAGTGCATTAACTCTTGCTCCTCGAAGGTTGTCATTAGGCAGTGTTTCTCAGTGAAACAGATGTAAGAGTGACTCGAAATCATTTCTGCGATTTATATTCATTCTCTGACTGCAACCACATGAGTCACTAATATTCAACTTATTCAGCGTCTGTCAAGCTCGCTTTCAATATACTTCATTTCTGAAGAAGTAATTACAATGTTCATCGACAGAAATGCAGACTTTTAATGAGAAGAGTGAAGCGGAAACAGTAAAGCAGGAAACGCGATCGTCGTTGAGAACGCTTTTTGACAAGAGATGTCGTTAGGAGCGCCTGATCTATAAAAATTATAATCATAAATGTGGTGCGCCCACTTGTGAAATTACCACTAAGAATTCAAAAATTGCAGCAGACAGAAAAATTAGCAACGTAATTCTCAGTAAGTTACGAGCGATTTCGACTAACAAGAAGATCACTGAAGGTCCGGATCTTGACGATTATTTGTACCTCGTGTCCCTGAACCTCACTGACTCACAATCAAATCCTAACAAAATGGTGGAAGAGGCATCAAAGAAATGAATTCAGGTGCACGTAAAGAGGATATCTTCGCCACGGTCAACTAACCGAATAAATTAAACGTAATCGTGAGGGTCAGGTCGATTCCGCACATCTTGAAATTATGACTGGTACACCTTCAAATTAAGGGTCTTGACGTATTGCGCACAATACAATACCACCAATGACACTATGTGAAGAGAATAAAACTGCCAGTTTGTGAAGACGACGAGACTGTATCTAAACAAAATTTACCCATAATGGAATTACGACGAGACACCAGTCATCCCGACAGTTACCACAGTAATTTACAGAGTTAAAGGATGTGAGAAACCATTTCAGTTGAATTTTGAATGTCAAAGGCTGTGGAAGTAGCAGTATTTACTGTCAAAATCATGAAGAGTAACACGTAAATGTAATCATTCCTTCCCCACAAAAATAGGTGATGACGATGATAATGGTGACGACAGTAAGTCGAGATATTCATTTAATTTTGTGACAGAAGTAATTTATTTCGGTCAGATTCACTATTGGAAGAGGTTAACCATTTTTCTGATTGCAATGAAACAAAATAAGTGATAAATCACTTCGGAGGGAAATTCATCCAGAGTCACTGGTCTCTGTCGAGACATCCACCACAAGTAGATTTCGTCTTCTTGTTGCATTTTAATGGTCGCGCCGGTATATACATTTCAAGATGACCAGACAACACTCAAAGAACCCAGGGTAATTAAAACTGAATAATTGAGGCTGACAGTATTCACTGATCCCAGTGTAGATGAATAGCATTCATAGCATCGCCATCATTGATATCCTACTGAGCGACACATATTAAAGATCGTATGACGCGATTTAATTAAAAGTACATCACTAATGACGAAGTGAGAAGAACCACTTCACCTGCCTATTGACCGACTCATTTTCACAGTGCACGATGACGAAAAACTGCATGTGAGACCACTGCAATTGAAAAGACCGTCTGAAGACGATGAGTATCCCTGTCGAATCCCTCAGACGCTTAATTACCCGTATTCCCTCGTCTATTGTAGGTGACATGAGAGACCACAGTGAAAAGTCACACGGTGAGTCAGTGAAATCACTACTTTTCATTGAATTTTCTCCAATCCGAGAAACATTGATCTGAGCGGTGTATGACTGGATATTTTAAAAATTGTAACTCGACTGGTCAATGCGCTCATTTGATTTGTATTTATGGAATGCACACAAAGTTTGTTAAAACGTTTTGGTTGCACATTCAGAGTTATGTGCTCTATGAAGTTTTCCAATTTTGGAGGTTGCATTTCTGGGAGAACTACTTAGTAAAAATTTATATTCAGAAGAGTTTACTGCTGAAAGTATGAATTCACTTTCAATGAACACTAAGGAGTCAGCAACTTGGAGATATACACTGTTCTCAGTACCCTAGATGTTTCGTGAGGACTTCAGTGGAAAAACGATACAATGTCTAAAATCACGCAGTGTGAAGAACATTTGGTGCTTCAGTGATGGACTGTCACTTCCCAAAACGCCTTAGTTTACACTCAAGAAATAAAGATAAGACACTTGATTTTGACACACCTCCACTTTTGCGAAAAACAGATAGCTACTCTCGTAAAGCTATCTACGTAATGTGGACAATCAAACGCGTTTGCTTGTAGGATGTCTTAGCATCATCCAACATCATATGAAGTGCACAAACGGAGTCTATTTGTGGCTCTGTTGTAGCTCACGTTTTCGATACTGGCGATAATGATGGTGTTAGAAGAACCGCTTCACCTGTCTATTGACCGACTCATTTTCACAGTGCACGATGACGAAAAACTGCATGTGAGACCACTGCAATTGAAAAGACCGTCTGAAGACGATGAGTTTCCCTGTCGAATCCCTCAGGCGCTTAATTACCCGTATTCCCTCTTCTATTGTAGGTGACATGAGAGACCACGGTGAAAAACCACACGGTGAGTCAGTGAAATCACTACTTTTCATTGAATTTTCTCCAATCCGAGAAACATTGATCTGAGCGGTGTATGACTGGATATTTTAAAAATTGTAACTCGACTGGTCAATGCGCCCATTTGATTTGTATTTATGGAATGCACACAAAGTTTGTTAAATCTTTTTGATTGCATACTCAGATTTTTCCGCTCTATTTGTTATTCCTATTGGGTGGTTCATTTTCTTGGAGACTTACTTTGTGAATATATTTATTTAGAAATTTTTTGTGTTATAAGTATGAATTCAATTTCTATTCACACTGGTATGTCACCTCTTTGGGTATATACACTTTTTTCAGTATCCCAGTTGTTTTTTGAGGACTTTGGTGCAATAATGAGACAATGCCTGAAATTACGCAGTGTGAAATCCATTTATTGCCTCTGTGATTTTGTTTGTATCCTTAAATTGGCTTTGTTTTACAGCCGCACGTATAAGAGAAACCACCTGATTTTGATGCGCCTGCAATTTTTCGAATTACAGGAAGCTGTTCTAGTGAATCTTTTTACGTTTTATGGACAATCAATCTCGTAATTTCTCGGATTTCACCTTGTTTTCCTACATTTTTTTTTGGTGGGATCTGTTTGATTTTTTCTGTGGTTCTGTAGGTTCAATTATCTGATTCGTTTTATATGTGTATTTTTCAATGTGCTTACTTTTTAATTTTTTCTTTCGGGTCAATCTTTATTTTTGTAAACTTAACGTTGATTCACACTTATTAATCTTTTTTATATCCAGAAGTACTCTGGGGATTCAGATGTATTTGGTTCTATGTTATAAGGAAAATTCCGCCCGTCCTTCGTCGATTTCTTGCACTTTTTCCTTATAAGGAGCGCTGGTTTTTGTTTGAAATTACCTCTGACAGCGTTTGATAAAGTGGAATGGTCCTGGGTTATTAGTCAGTAAATCTTGAATATGGTTGTGCGTCGGTGGCACAGTGGTTGGGGCTCTCGCCGACCATACACGTGGTCTGGGGTTCGAGCCCACGCCGACGCACACCTGATATCTATGGTCGGCCTGCGAATTTTGGGCTACCGATATCCACGCTGAAAATTCCACACTTGTACCAAGAATACGGTGTGGAATCAAGCTGTAATCAAAAATAAAATAAAATAAAAAATAAAATAGGAAATATTGTATTATAGGTTTTCAGCTGTTCGATTGGGTACATGATTTAGTCTTGAGTTGACATTTGTTTGAGAAACATCAAAAACCTATGGGCACTGGTCATTCATTTCATTCTAGCTTAAGACTTCTCAGCGGTACGCAATTACCCTTTGGCATTAAGACTTCGGACTTTCCGGTGACAACGCAACTTCGTGGACCACTCAACCATTGTGGCCAGGTACAATGTCACATTAATTTCAACTACTGTCAATTCACAATGTACGGCACACAAGAATTAGCGTCATTGGTGTCATAACCCGATCTCACTTGTCTGCTATATAGTACACAAATACGGTATAAAGGATGTGAGGAATTCGCCAGATATTCATTGTGATACGCTAAAACACACCCAAAGTAGAGTAAAAATTCTAAGCATCACAATAAGGTCAGACTTGACTTATTCACCATTGAGCTCTTGCACCATTTTCTGTAAATTTCCAAACTTTACAATATCTCAATCTAAAACTTGGGTTTCAGAAGTATAAAGGTGATAGCTAGATATCATGGAAGAGTTTGCGCCACTTCATTTCTAAGTATCAACACTGCAAACCTTTGAATTATATTTATCACAGTATATTAAAACAACTCCTCAGTATTCATGATTTCATATACATTTGTTTCAAGAAATTGATGAATCTGACCATCAAACACCCAATAAGACCTTTAAAATTATCATAACGAGGGTAAGGTGAAATCCCAAATTTTCATTCCTTGGGATGTGGGCTAAGAAGGTATTAGTTAAGCGAAGTAAGCAGAGAAAAGTATAGTTACCACACAAAAATCACGTGAATAGGCAAACCCACAACATAGTTAGCTGGAAATATGTACCGTCACAAAAGCACCAGTATACATTCATAAACATTAGGAATGCTAATTAAACGAGATAGGTAAGTTTTATGCGACACCATTTCACTTGAATATGAATTTGAAAATTCTTGTGGAAGTAGTTGTGTTAAAAATCAAAATCTTTAAGCGTCAACAGTTTATTTTAATGGAGGAACGTATTTACTCAGTCTGAATTCATTGAGAGGATTTAACGTAACGAAAAAAGCGAGAGAAAGCAATATAAAACATTTCTTTTCTTGACAACTAATAGATTGTAATGGTAAGTAATACCTATGATAATTTCAGGAGGTATCAGTATAAAATTAACCTTGAGATAGTCAAGTGAACAGATCATTTTACTCCTCGTAAAACCCTCGTCGAAGCCTATAACACTACTAAAATCACTAACGATTTACTTTATAGTAATTTTAAACTTAGTTCATGTTCATTGAATGAACTCTTTATAGGCTTACATTTTAAAAAATATTTTAGTTTTTATCGTTTAAGATTGATAAAATGGTTACCTGTAGGCTAGCGTTTTCATATTTTTTAACTGCAAAAGCTTCAAGATAGAAACCGATATGCATAAGATATTAAGGTCAACTGAGTTGGATAGTGGTCGCATCTTTCAAACATTTTTGGGAACACAAAGGGTTCATTTATTTTGTTTATATAGGTAAGCAAATGCAAAAAAACGAAGCCGTTTTATTTATTACAGGTGATTCAAACTTGTTCTGTGACTAAGTAACAGAATTAAGAGTTTCATCATTTATTCTGGAAAGCTTATACGTCCATGAATACGACTTCTCCGATTTATGATATAAATATAATCCAACCTCATGTAACGAGGACCACCAAGTAAACTTTTGTATTATGCGGTAAATTGTGAGGATCAACTTGGAATATTTTGAAAAATTCAGTTCAAAATAGTCTTCAAAGTACCAAAATAGTTCAACGAAATAGATCTGAAGAAAATATTGCCAACAAATATTTGATAATATGCGGTCAACGGCCATTATCACCAAAATAATTGGCATAATGCATACATACATGAGACAGAAAATCAACGACCAAAAAAAGAATTTAATATATCGATGAAAAGTTGGAAAGCAATACAAAAAACAGGTTAAAGAAGTTTAAATGTTGAAGCAAAATATTTCAAAAATCACAGAAAATACATAGAAAGAGAAAAGAACTGAGAAGAAAAAACGTAGGAAGGAAAAGTAAACACATAAGCGCAACAAAAGGAAACGCAATCAAAACACGAATGAAAGACTTTCGACATTGAAACATACTACTGTCGGCCTCATCATGCTTTGATAATAATTTCCATTTCAGACGAAGGTAATGAAGAAAGTGAGTTGATAAGTTATCTGTTTTTCATTTCTTCTTCATCTCTTACACAAATGACATTGAAAACGAAATGTTCTACTGCTCAAACTGAGTGCATCTACACCAAATTACAAGATTCACATCACAGACAATTACTCGAATTCCTACTAGGACTTCGAGTTTCATCACAGTTCAAAACTAAATGTGTATCATGAGAAACAAACACATCGGAACGAAAAGAGCATACCGTTTTCCGACGAAACCTATCACAGTGAAATTGATGTCACTGAAATCGTGACCATAGGGACTTACATTATAACAGCACGTCACATAAAGTGTTTATATGAATTTCTTTTCAATTCACTCCACAACGAAGTTGTTTAACATTCCGAATTCATTTTGATTTTCGCGTTGATTGTTTGGAACGAAATGTTATGCCGTGGTTGGCGATTCAGGTACTAGTGTGGATGATCCGACGGTGTCTTACAGTAAAATTCATGTATCGATTCAGTAATCTCCGTAGTAGGGTAAATCAATGACGATTCACATGTGAACAAAGTCAGTAGAGAACGAGTTGGGAATTTGTAATACTTCGATATCATAATCCTTATAAATATGTGTCTATGAAGGTTGAGCAAATTTCTCCAAATTCTCGATGACATTAGGAATCAATGCAGTTTGACATTGAAACATACTACTGTCGGCCTCATCATGCTTTGATAATAATTTCCATTTCAGACGAAGGTAATGAAGAAAGTGAGTTGATAAGTTATCTGTTTTTCATTTCTTCTTCATCTCTTACACAAATGACATTGAAAACGAAATGTTCTACTGCTCAAACTGAGTGCATCTACACCAAATTACAAGATTCACATCACAGACAATTACTCGAATTCCTACTAGGACTTCGAGTTTCATCACAGTTCAAAACTAAATGTGTATCATGAGAAACAAACACATCGGAACGAAAAGAGCATACCGTTTTCCGACGAAACCTATCACAGTGAAATTGATGTCACTGAAATCGTGACCATAGGGACTTACATTATAACAGCACGTCACATAAAGTGTTTATATGAATTTCTTTTCAATTCACTCCACAACGAAGTTGTTTAACATTCCGAATTCATTTTGATTTTCGCGTTGATTGTTTGGAACGAAATGTTATGCCGTGGTTGGCGATTCAGGTACTAGTGTGGATGATCCGACGGTGTCTTACAGTAAAATTCATGTATCGATTCAGTAATCTCCGTAGTAGGGTAAATCAATGACGATTCACATGTGAACAAAGTCAGTAGAGAACGAGTTGGGAATTTGTAATACTTCGATATCATAATCCTTATAAATATGTGTCTATGAAGGTTGAGCAAATTTCTCCAAATTCTCGATGACATTAGGAATCAATGCAGTTTGACATTGAAACATACTACTGTCGGCCTCATCATGCTTTGATAATAATTTCCATTTCAGACGAAGGTAATGAAGAAAGTGAGTTGATAAGTTATCTGTTTTTCATTTCTTCTTCATCTCTTACACAAATGACATTGAAAACGAAATGTTCTACTGCTCAAACTGAGTGCATCTACACCAAATTACAGGATTCACATCACAGACAATTACTCGAATTCCTACTAGGACTTCGAGTTTCATCACAGTTCAAAACTAAATGTGTATCATGAGAAACAAACACATCGGAACGAAAAGAGCATACCGTTTTCCGACGAAACCTATCACAGTGAAATTGATGTCACTGAAATCGTGACCATAGGGACTTACATTATAACAGCACGTCACATAAAGTGTTTATATGAATTTCTTTTCAATTCACTCCACAACGAAGTTGTTTAACATTCCGAATTCATTTTGATTTTCGCGTTGATTGTTTGGAACGAAATGTTATGCCGTGGTTGGCGATTCAGGTACTAGTGTGGATGATCCGACGGTGTCTTACAGTAAAATTCATGTATCGATTCAGTAATCTCCGTAGTAGGGTAAATCAATGACGATTCACATGTGAACAAAGTCAGTAGAGAACGAGTTGGGAATTTGTAATACTTCGATATCATAATCCTTATAAATATGTGTCTATGAAGGTTGAGCAAATTTCTCCAAATTCTCGATGACATTAGGAATCAATGCAGTTTGACATTGAAACATACTACTGTCGGCCTCATCATGCTTTGATAATAATTTCCATTTCAGACGAAGGTAATGAAGAAAGTGAGTTGATAAGTTATCTGTTTTTCATTTCTTCTTCATCTCTTACACAAATGACATTGAAAACGAAATGTTCTACTGCTCAAACTGAGTGCATCTACACCAAATTACAAGATTCACATCACAGACAATTACTCGAATTCCTACTAGGACTTCGAGTTTCATCACAGTTCAAAACTAAATGTGTATCATGAGAAACAAACACATCGGAACGAAAAGAGCATACCGTTTTCCGACGAAACCTATCACAGTGAAATTGATGTCACTGAAATCGTGACCATAGGGACTTACATTATAACAGCACGTCACATAAAGTGTTTATATGAATTTCTTTTCAATTCACTCCACAACGAAGTTGTTTAACATTCCGAATTCATTTTGATTTTCGCGTTGATTGTTTGGAACGAAATGTTATGCCGTGGTTGGCGATTCAGGTACTAGTGTGGATGATCCGACGGTGTCTTACAGTAAAATTCATGTATCGATTCAGTAATCTCCGTAGTAGGGTAAATCAATGACGATTCACATGTGAACAAAGTCAGTAGAGAACGAGTTGGGAATTTGTAATACTTCGATATCATAATCCTTATAAATATGTGTCTATGAAGGTTGAGCAAATTTCTCCAAATTCTCGATGACATTAGGAATCAATGCAGTTTGACATTGAAACATACTACTGTCGGCCTCATCATGCTTTGATAATAATTTCCATTTCAGACGAAGGTAATGAAGAAAGTGAGTTGATAAGTTATCTGTTTTTCATTTCTTCTTCATCTCTTACACAAATGACATTGAAAACGAAATGTTCTACTGCTCAAACTGAGTGCATCTACACCAAATTACAGGATTCACATCACAGACAATTACTCGAATTCCTACTAGGACTTCGAGTTTCATCACAGTTCAAAACTAAATGTGTATCATGAGAAACAAACACATCGGAACGAAAAGAGCATACCGTTTTCCGACGAAACCTATCACAGTGAAATTGATGTCACTGAAATCGTGACCATAGGGACTTACATTATAACAGCACGTCACATAAAGTGTTTATATGAATTTCTTTTCAATTCACTCCACAACGAAGTTGTTTAACATTCCGAATTCATTTTGATTTTCGCGTTGATTGTTTGGAACGAAATGTTATGCCGTGGTTGGCGATTCAGGTACTAGTGTGGATGATCCGACGGTGTCTTACAGTAAAATTCATGTATCGATTCAGTAATCTCCGTAGTAGGGTAAATCAATGACGATTCACATGTGAACAAAGTCAGTAGAGAACGAGTTGGGAATTTGTGATACTTCGATATCATAATCCTTATAAATATGTGTCTATGAAGGTTGAGCAAATTTCTCCAAATTCTCGATGACATTAGGAATCAATGCAGTTTGACATTGAAACATACTACTGTCGGCCTCATCATGCTTTGATAATAATTTCCATTTCAGACGAAGGTAATGAAGAAAGTGAGTTGATAAGTTATCTGTTTTTCATTTCTTCTTCATCTCTTACACAAATGACATTGAAAACGAAATGTTCTACTGCTCAAACTGAGTGCATCTACACCAAATTACAAGATTCACATCACAGACAATTACTCGAATTCCTACTAGGACTTCGAGTTTCATCACAGTTCAAAACTAAATGTGTATCATGAGAAACAAACACATCGGAACGAAAAGAGCATACCGTTTTCCGACGAAACCTATCACAGTGAAATTGATGTCACTGAAATCGTGACCATAGGGACTTACATTATAACAGCACGTCACATAAAGTGTTTATATGAATTTCTTTTCAATTCACTCCACAACGAAGTTGTTTAACATTCCGAATTCATTTTGATTTTCGCGTTGATTGTTTGGAACGAAATGTTATGCCGTGGTTGGCGATTCAGGTACTAGTGTGGATGATCCGACGGTGTCTTACAGTAAAATTCATGTATCGATTCAGTAATCTCCGTAGTAGGGTAAATCAATGACGATTCACATGTGAACAAAGTCAGTAGAGAACGAGTTGGGAATTTGTAATACTTCGATATCATAATCCTTATAAATATGTGTCTATGAAGGTTGAGCAAATTTCTCCAAATTCTCGATGACATTAGGAATCAATGCAGTTTGACATTGAAACATACTACTGTCGGCCTCATCATGCTTTGATAATAATTTCCATTTCAGACGAAGGTAATGAAGAAAGTGAGTTGATAAGTTATCTGTTTTTCATTTCTTCTTCATCTCTTACACAAATGACATTGAAAACGAAATGTTCTACTGCTCAAACTGAGTGCATCTACACCAAATTACAAGATTCACATCACAGACAATTACTCGAATTCCTACTAGGACTTCGAGTTTCATCACAGTTCAAAACTAAATGTGTATCATGAGAAACAAACACATCGGAACGAAAAGAGCATACCGTTTTCCGACGAAACCTATCACAGTGAAATTGATGTCACTGAAATCGTGACCATAGGGACTTACATTATAACAGCACGTCACATAAAGTGTTTATATGAATTTCTTTTCAATTCACTCCACAACGAAGTTGTTTAACATTCCGAATTCATTTTGATTTTCGCGTTGATTGTTTGGAACGAAATGTTATGCCGTGGTTGGCGATTCAGGTACTAGTGTGGATGATCCGACGGTGTCTTACAGTAAAATTCATGTATCGATTCAGTAATCTCCGTAGTAGGGTAAATCAATGACGATTCACATGTGAACAAAGTCAGTAGAGAACGAGTTGGGAATTTGTAATACTTCGATATCATAATCCTTATAAATATGTGTCTATGAAGGTTGAGCAAATTTTCACAATATCCTTTGAAGCTGACTGATAAAATACTTTTAATCGATAATCTCTTTTATATTTTACGTACACACTATTTTTTACACTTTTTCTAGTTATTTCCATAGTAGTACTTTGTGAACGTTTTTCTTAAGCGATTGAACTGGAACTAAATTCGGAAAACCTATAACAAAAATTTAAGATGTTAGGAATCCTTATTTTCCTGGAGTATTTGGATGTGCTTCGTCTGGCTAAGCACTAACTTCTCGTTAAATACAAAGTGACATTTCACACCCTTGATGGATGCGAGTAATTGCTTTGTAAATAGGATTAGTGGATTTTCACTTCACATATTTTATGCGTATCACTTTAGTGTAATTGCTGTCTCATTCGGTTTCATTTACGAAGGAAGGCCTATAAATACATGTTTTGAGATTTAGATTGAAGTTCCGTGTCTCATATCATAGAATAAATAAATTCTACCTCACTTTTAAAATCTTTTGTATGTTATTCGCGGTACCCGATGGTAACTAATCTCCAGAACTACTGAGAACACGTCGCAGTCATGAAAGAAAGATGTCACATTATCCTAACTGAATATGTGCTTACAACCTTCAAACTTCACTCCTGCACGATTCATTTCTTGAAAGGTTTCGTTTCAAAACATCAAACTTGCCAGTAACATAGTTGACTACATATGTCGCCTACAGTTACAGTCAAATTACTTAAGCCGCAAACAGTATTCAAGTAGTGGTAAATCTGTATGAGACGAAGCAGAGTCCGTTCTTTGGCAAAAAGGTCAGATGTAACTTCACAGTTTGTGTCCACCATCAGTATGATCGTTTATCTATTCAACGTTTGGAAAAGTGAATGTTCATTTCGCCAGGATTCACGAAACCATCTCACGAATATTTAATCGTTTCAACCAATTAAAGGGGGTATTAGCAGTGTGTAGTGATTCATTCACATACGGTCTTAATTTCCATTCTTCGTCTGTGTAAACCATACAGAACCACAGAAATCATTTCAATTATAAAACATAACAAGATGAAGTATATAAGAAAACATCTTAGGTGGAGTTGAAAGGCATGCCGTTTTGTATTGAAACGTATTACAGTCGTATTCATGAAGTTACATGAATAAATATACTGATTTGTATTACAGGTGAGGCCGTTGAAAATCGTAAGTCGTGGTGTTGTTTTCTTCCTTTTTCCACTTTCGGTACAGTTAAAAATTAAATTACAACTTAATCCATAACATAATTTATATATACATTCAATATTTACAAAGATTGAATATTCCATTGGTAATATCACAATATTCGTGTACCAGTGCCATCTTGTGGTTCGTGACAGGTTTTTATCTTGGCGGCCGTTGTAAGTACTTAAGAGATGGCGAAATATGACCAGGTGAATGAATCAAGTGTCATTTTCATTAGAAAACTTGCAGAAATGGTACGGGTGAAGAAGGTATTTAACCCAAATAGACATCCGTATCATCAGTAGCAGGTGACCATTGTATGCAAAGTATATCCTACCACTGTTTCGAATAATGGTAGTCTGTTTTACTGCTTCAACTACCTGTTCATCCAAACACAGAATAGGGGCACTGCGTACAGCTCAATTTATTGAATAAATTCATAGCAGTTTGGCAGCTGTGGAATATTCATCACTTCGCAGGTAGCGTTCTGATTTCAATGTTTGCTAGGCTTGACAACAAAGTTAAATGTAATAAGTTATCACCTCTGTGGTATATCAGGTAACCAGACCTACCAATTTATTTCTGGTTTCTACTGAGTTTTTTGAATAATCGCAGAAAACTGCATTTGTTTTCGATCTGCAGGACACTCAAGTAGAGGAAGTGGTGAGTGGTGATACGCTTGTTTTGTCACCTTTCGTAAATAATAAAGAGAATATAATTTGAAACAACCAACACTACCACAGTCAGGAGAAGTTGGATAACAAACTTATTTGAGGCTTTGCATTACACCTTTATTATTTGATTTAATCCTGACCAAAAGTGTGTTAGTAACATCATTCAGCAGATAATACTGTCTCTCTGTTTGATATATCTGATGAACAAAGTAATATTTAATTGCAAACCGACTCATACATATAGTTTTATTCACAAATCAGTCTTTGTATTCTACGCACACACTAATTGTCTAGGCTTTCAACAACGGATATTACCAAATTAATACATTGTGAACAGGTTTCTTTAGTGATTGAACTGGAAATAAATTAAGACAATCTGTAGGATAAATGTAAGAAGTAATCAATCATTATTTTCCTAGAGAATATGAATGAGCTGAACCTGACAGCATATTACCAGCTTCTTAGTTTCAGTAGACAAACTGACAGTTCACAGCCTTTACGGATGGAAGTATTTTATTTGTAAAAATGGTGAAGTATGTTTTCATTGTACACGTTATTCGCTTACCACTATTGTCTAATTGTCTTGGAATACAGTGGCATGTACAATGAAGGACCTACAAATACTAAAATGTACGTCTAACGATTTACACGCTCTGATATGTAGATTCAAATCAGAACACGAAAGAAAAATGCAAATTAAGGTGAATATAGTACCTGTTATCTATCCAGCGATGAAATGCATTAGGATTAATGTGTGCTTTTTCGTTCACTTTTGGCTTTAATCGTTTTTCCTACTCTATGTAAACCCTACGTTATCACTGATATGATATGATTTTGACAATATATCCGGCTGAAATTTATCCGATTGCAGTCTAGTTGTATTTTTAATTCATATTGTTTTCCGTTGAAATCTTATGCGATCTTATTCTTTTAGCCCAAATAATAGATATATTTTTATTTCTCTTTCAGCTGATTTCACTGGATATCGTAGGTTTTTGTGTGGTCTCTCTTTTTTCTGTCTCCATTGAATATGAAATTTCAACTCTCTTCATTCCATGTATGCGCTGATATTCATGAAAATACAGATATTCATTATTCCATTGTTGTGGCACACGATATACGTGTGCCTTTAGCATTTTGCTTATTTGTCGATGGCAGTCATTTTACTTGTATTCCTAAGAAAATATTAAGCCAAAATAATTTCTAGACAATCAAATCGATCACATATTTTCTAATAACCCAGGAAAAAGAACAATAGAGAGTAAATAAAGATAAGCTGATGACTGACTGTAAGATGACTACAATCAGGGAGAATAAATAAAAAGTACCTTTTCAGACAATTTGTAGATGTCGAAAATTTCTATGCAAAAGCACAATTTCTCTCATTACCCTGATGTTGAAATAACTTCTTTTTATGAAGAACTCCTTTGCCACATATTACGCCAAACCAATACAATCCATGCCTTCTGTCAAATGTAATCATTAGAGGAAAGAGCTTTTAGTTTGTTGCTAAGTTTGAAAGGATTCGGGCTGTCGATGACTCTACTCACAATAAGCTAGTGTAAATTTTACAGTGATAATACTTGACGACTACTGTGAAGATTTTCTACCAGCGACCACGTTGGATATTTCACTACGTGACCTGTGTACACAGTGTTTATACTTATTGCATTATTGGGGAATAATACATTACCACACAATGTGATTTTGGTTTCTGAAACAGACATGGAATGATTGGTAAGTGAATCTTCATCTTGGTTTCTTGATTTTTTAGACATGTGACATAACGTGCAATGCAATGTTCAAGAGGAGTAAAGCAAAGGTTATCCTAATTGAAACTGAGTCGAGTATACGTACTTCAGTCAAATACAGACTCCATAAAATACAGTTTTCTACATCTCTCAATATATACGTGTATCTGTACTTGTATCATTTTTCTTGTAAAAACGTTGACTGAAAAACGTCGTTGAATACCAATGAAGTGAGCGGAAAACGAAACTGCTTTTCATACTGAAAAAACTGTGCTTGTGGATTTGATCATGTTGACGCTAAATACACAACAATAATGAAATCCAACGCTTCCGCGAACCTGGTCGTTAGTTTAGTATGTGTTGTCTGATGCCAGATGAATCAGGATGCTTGATGACTCTGTGAAAAAATGTAGGCTATGCACTTAGCGTTTTCAAGACTTGATTGGCTTTCGATTGAGAAATATTCGGATGCTTTTAGACTTTTATTTTCGTTTTCATGTTATTATAAACATTTATTTAAAGTCAACTGTTATAGTTGCTTTTAAAACCCATTAGGTATGGAACCTCTATGCGCAGCCTATACTGTAATATCACTGTACGCTTTAAGCTCATCGAAATTGATATGGCCACCAATAGATAAACTGCTTGTTATCATGTAAACATAATTTCTGAGCAGAATTTCCAATTCTTGTGAGACACCTTTCAAGACCTTCATACATATGCATTTTTAGACCTTGAGAATGATATCAATGTGAAGAGTAATCGCTCACTTAACGCCTTCTCTTTTACATGTAATATATTGCAAACTGATTCAAGAAATGCATTTTATTCGAAACATTTTCACTTTAGGAGATGAAGAATATGAAATGTTTTGTCTAACAACCATTTTGAGTACTTGAGTATTTATGTCATCGGTTTGCAGTGTTATACTGCGTCGACGAAAGACAGGACAATTAAACCCTTCTATTCTCCTTCCTTAATCGATTGAAGCTTCCAGAGGTAAGAAGTGATATTTTTCAACTTTTAAAAATTCAACAATAGAGACACAGTTAAAGGAAACACCATACCACTCTACATAAATGAGGGAGACACACAAAATGGACACTGTGCTAACTTCTCTTCATATCTGTTGTCAAAAGAACGGTGTGAACCGAATTCCTAAATCATTTGATTAAATACAATTCTCGTACATGAGAAAAGTCAAGAGAAGATAACGTTTATTATCAATTGTCATTCTTTCCTAAACTCTCTTCCCACTGAAACTTTCCATATGTTACTTTTCGTGATTCATGCTTTGAGTTATACTAATAAGAGTTCCTGAGTAATCCATTTCACCACTTTGTTGAACTGACTCATGGAACATAGAGTTTCAGGCTTGTTTTCTGCTCAGTATTCTCTCTTCTCCAGTTTTGGTGCAAAATAAACAAGAATAAGAATTTTATTGACTTGAGACTGAAATCCACAACACCTGTGTCATCACTGAGTATTCTTATCCCCAGCCACCGACGCAAATCTGCATTTTAATAATCCCAGTTTAACAGGGAATTATTATGACCCCTCGGAAATTCACTTCAAGATTCTTTGCATGTTAACTTCTGCGAGAGGTTTGAATTACTCAAATTATCAAATAAGATCAACATTCAGTATTTATTGTGCGCTTTATTTACGCAATTTTGTATAAGTTCGCAGTCGTTGATAAGTATATAATAATTTCGCTCGTTCTTCACCAATCGACACATTCCTTTCAAAACAGTAAATAATTCCTTTTTCTTTCCTTTTTACATTTCAGGATAGAATATGCACCAGTCATAAAGAAGAATGCTTTTTCTATAAAAGACTGTGTAATGATGTTGGTCTTTTTCAATATGCAAGCTGGAATGTTTTTATTTTCAAATGAAACCTTTTAACCTAAAAATGTTTGTAAGTAAATTAATGTGATAAATAAAGCTATGGTGCATAAAGTGCGGCTTTCTATTTGACATAAACTCAGGGTTGTTTTCGGTAGGACTCACTTGATTGAGTAATAGTCAATAACCAATATAATCTATAGTTATAAACATGAATTATTCTCCCTGGCATAATGATTGCATACATTTGGATCTAGATAGTGAGTTGCAGGTAGAAGCAAGATAAACGTTCTGGACTAAACTAATTATTAGTCTAAATCTTCTAGCAGCCACAAAGTATAATTTTCATTGTAAAGTTATAGAAGCTTCAGTAAACTTATTTTAAAGCTTCATATATCCTCATAATTCCCTTGAAAAGTGCTAGTGAGGGGTCAAACCAAAACATGGCATAAGTAAATGAAATTTACAACATTTAGTTGGGGCCCCGGAGACGGTAAAAACCAATGGTTGGAAACAATTGGTGATACCTCTCAAAATCGTCCTCAGTGACGCAAATGCATCCACTCTTTGTGACTTATAAATTCCAATGAAACTATATAGTTCCTTATTATTACTATTCCTTTGTCTCACACCTCTTTTTACTGTCTCTACTTTGCATTTCGTCTACTTTCTTCTCTTGCTTTGTGCGCTACATGGAGTTTGGCGACTCGAACTACCGCACATCGGTGCAAAGTTCTATGTCAAAAACAGACAGACAAACATAATTCGCACTAAATGCATCAGTCATGAAAGTGTATTCAGGAGTCATTCAGAACTCAGTGACTTATACAAAATAATCACACCTCTGATAAATACCTATAAAATATCCGAAGTCAGATGTTGTCAGTACATATCAGTTAAAATTATCTCCACTATGATATACTCCAGAATTCTACTTAATGAGTTCCATTCGTTCTTCACTCGGAGACCTCCGGTGTGATGTCACTTATTGGTCCATTCGTCCTAAGTTCAATACATCTTTTCATTTCACTTATCCTTTTTAGGAATAGATTCTTGATGGGTTAGTCGTCAGAGCTCTTATTTGTCAAGCAACATGACCTATGATCTTCAGTATCAATGTGTATCAACCTATGAAAATCAATAGCCTGTATAAATTAGTTGCCGAGATACGATTAATCAGCTTCCTAAAAGCAATATTTGAATGCCTGAGGTTTTGTTGGACTGTACAAAAGTTCACCTAATTCGTAGTCTGTCTTTGTACATTTCAATTTTATTCACAAATATATCTACAATATAAACCCAAACATTTCAAACAAAAATATGTTTCCAACATCTGGACCACACTAATATAATCCTGGATTACAAAAGTTGTGGTGACATGTTTACGCTGGCTGAATAAATTTTTGAGAGAATTTTTCATAAATGCTTCCGTTTATGCACGACCTTGACCTTGGCGGCCTGTTGAATTTTTGGGCCTGCTAACAAAATATCTACATTTTGCATCCAGTTTCCCGTTTACCAGCATACACTTATCACTTAAATATGAATTCTAGCAGAATCATTTACTCTCGTAACTTTATTAATAATTTACGACCAAATGACTTTCATATTCCAAAGAAACCAAGGAGGAAACATCGTAGTGGTTGGCAGAGAGCTCTCAAACGTACACCAATACACTTAACTACGGTCCCCGTCATAATGAACTCAAACTGTCGCTCTCTACCAAATAAGATAATGTATCTACAATCCCTGATGTCAACTGATACGTATCATAACACTGCCATAATCGCATTACAAGAAACGTGGTTGCATGAACTGTATGATGACAACCTTATCTCACTAAAGGACTTTATTTTATTTCGACAAGACCGTCGCTGTTGTAATAAGAAAAATGGTGGTGGCGTTGCAACTTTTATTCACTCCAAATGGTCTGTCTCAAATAACATCTGCTTCACCTTCTCAAATGACTTCATTGACTGTATTACTGTCAAATGTCGCCCCAAACATATCCCCAAATACAAACAATTCTATATTACAAACATGTACATTTCTCCTAGTTGCTCTCCATCTGATCTATCTAATTTTGCTGATGAATTCACCATGTTTGCTGCTGCCAACTTCGACAACTCTCTATCCGTTATTACTGGAGACTTCAACACATCAGATTGCTCCTTTCTTGAAGCTCTTGGTCACACAAATATAGTCAAATTTCCCACTCGACTTGACAAAACCCTTGACTTGGTTTTTACCAATGATGAAGGAGTATATGAAACACGTAGACGTTCACCGATACATAACTCCGATCACTGCATTGTCCGCGTTTTGCCAAAAATATACAGCAAAACACATATTAAAATCTTCTCACACCTGTCCACGAAGGCACAACAAAGAAGCTACACATCTGACAACTTACTCAATCTAAGATGCATGTTAAAAGATACCAACTGGGATCTATTCTATGAAAGTACATTAGATGACTCAATCACCAATATAATGGATTATCTTAAGTTCTGCCTTGACATATGCTGTCCCAAACAAACACTGTTCAAACGCCTCGACCGCTTCTCGTCACCCCATCTCAAACAACTTCGCAGGCAAAAAGAAATGTTATATAAATGCAAAGACAAGTTAGGACTTAAAAAGATAAATGCTCAAATCAAATCTGAAATCAAAAATCTTAATGCTATCTATAACCAAACACTTTTATCATGCAAATCTCCAAACAGCATGTGGAAACTTTTCAATGAAATTACTGGCAATAGTAAGCGATGTAATGTTTTTCCCTCTTGTGATGTTAATGCTCTTAATCTGTCTTTTATACGCTCTCCTTCTACCATAACCACTTCTAATGTTACCAATCTTGTAGCTGATAACTTCCAGGACTTCAATACTCTCGATGTTTTGAAATGTCTTAAAACTCTTAAGCCCTCACATAGTCTTGGCCCTGATGGCATACCTGCATATGTCCTAAAACAATGTGCAGATGCTTTATGTTCTCCTCTAACTAATATCCTAAATGCTTCTTTCTCCGAAAACGTTGTACCTGTTCCATGGAAAGACATTAAAATAGTCCCTGTCCCTAAACCTGGAAATAGCAAGAACGTAAAGTTCAGACCCATCGCCATCACTTCCCCGTTTCTAAAGCTCATGGAAAAACTAATACTTCTTAAACTCGAACCCTCCCTTAAAAGCTTCGAAGACCCCAAACAATTTGCCTACAGACAGGGTAGGAGTACTTTAGACGCTGCAGCCGTCTTACACAACAGTATTGTCTCATCATTAGACAAAGGTGCCAAATATGTCCGCTGCACGTTTCTTGACTTCACTTCTGCTTTCGACTCTGTACCTAGAAGTCTCTTGCTAAATAAGCTCTCCACGACACAAACCGAGTCTTGGGTCACTAAGTGGTTGCATTCCTACTTTTCAAACAGAATGCAGTACACCGTATACAAAGGTCAATCCTCCTCTGCTGTGCTCACTGAATCTGGTGTCCCCCAAGGTGCTGTACTCTCCCCACTTCTCTTTTCATTCTTCCTACATGACCTACCGTCTTCAAATGATATTAACTTTGTCAAATATGCTGATGACCTAACTGTATCTTTACCTGTCAAATGTCAAAATGACTGCTCTAAACTAAATGGCTTCTTATCAGAAATTAGCCAATGGTCCAAGGAAAACGGTCTAACCTTAAACCCCTCCAAATGCCAAACAGTTAATTTCACCTTTAGGCATAAATCTGACCTAAACAAACTGGTTAGCGCTCACGAGGTGTGCAACATAGATGGCACTGAAATAGAAACTAAGTCGGAAATTAAATACCTAGGCGTCACTCTATCTTCTGATCTTTCCTGGTCGTCTCATATCTTGACGATTTCCAAGAAAATATACCGTCTTACCTTCTACATCAAGAAGTTAAGACATTCTGGTGTAACCCAACCCTTACTACTACAATTTGTTAACTCCCGTATTCTGCCTATAATTCTCTATTGCTCCCCCTTAGTCTTTCCTGGGCTATTGAAGAAAGACTATACCTTATTACGTAGGATGTTAAAGGTTGTCAGCAGGGTAAGCAGCTTGCCACTTAGCCAGCTTGTTAACATTCTGGTGGACAGGCACATGGACTCATGTGAAAAATGGGCGAAGTCCATTTTATCTGACTCACAACACCCTCTACACTCACAACTCTCCCCATGTATCTCTTCAGGGAAAACAAGAAGTCTATATAGGAAACTATATGCCCGCACTAGTAAGTACAAAAACTCATCCATACCCTACCTAGCCCGTGTTCTGTGTGATAAAGAATGCATCAGGCATGAAACCTTTAACTTATTAAATAGTCACTAGAACCAATGAATCTCGTCTTTCCAACTCACATCATTTATAGGTACAACGTTTTCTCTCTCTTCATTCTGTATTTATTTTTGTTATGTGCTGTTTTGTTTCTCTCTTCCTTGCAAACTCTACTTAAAACATTCTTGTTCGTTCTTTTACACTCTGTATATCTCGACCATTTTGCTATCGCTTACGCCAGTAAATATGCTAGTAGTATCTACTTTTGTAACACCTTCAAACATTTTAATTTTGGCTTTGCTACCGACATACTAATATGTTGTTGAGATAATCTTTAAACTATGTAGAACTTTATTTATTGTTAATGTAAACAAAAAACTGGATGCAATATTGTAGTAAAATGCTGAGAATTCCATTCTGTATCACAAGTACTGATTTGGAATAAAGCTTATATAATAATAATAATAATAATAATAATCT